GGTTGGCTCCTGTACATCCAGTTCGTCATTGCGTGTCAGTTTTAACATTCTCGCCCCTGGTAGGGTGGGTACATGCGCCTCCAGCACGCATATTCCTTGGACGATTCGCTGCACCCTATATACCACCGAGGGTGCGGGTAGGTCTGAGTACTTAACTATCCAATCTCCTCGCTGGACCGCAGACCCTTTTTTCAGTGTTCGTCGCCATGCCAACGGTATGGCCTCTCGGAGTAGGTTCAGCCTAACCTCCACATTCTTGGAATACTTCATGAGTTGCTGCAGTTGGGCTGCCATCTTCCAATCCCCTGTCTGTATGTCCCACAGGTCACCTATCGTGAAGAGGCCCTTTCTGACCCATGTTAGCCAGGGGGAGTTGGTGTGTAGCGAGAAGGGTTTACCGTTTTCGTCCAAAATGTGGGGGTTCCCAAAGAGGGTCTGTCACCACACATCGTGCCACCTGTCGGGAGGCGGAAATTGTCTCCACAACTTAAGCATATTGGGCCATAGCGGATCTTGTGCTATGTCTGCTTTTGCTGCGTGAGCTGGGTTGTCCCCTGGGTGTTGCTGTGTTTGGGAGGGGATGGACCAGTGCGCATTAGTGAGCCAACGAAAAGGGTGGATCCGATTAGGGGCCGTTGTTTCTGGTGCCAGCTCATTGATCTGTATACAGGCCAGCGGCGCCCATGGGATGTCATTGCCTGTTAGGAGCCAGACCAACACCTTGAATATGAGGGCCTCAGTTTCTCTTGCCGGGTCTATTATCCCCAGGCCCCCTTTACTCCTTGGCAGCGTTAGTATGTCCCATTTAACCCGATTGATACAGCCTTGGGTTTTGACCTCATTCTTCCAAAGGTAGGTCGTCAGCGCCTTTCTGAGTCTGGAGTGTTGTTTCGGTTTAAGTGGCCACACTGCCAGTTTATACCAAATTGCTGCAAGCACCGCGTTGTTGATTGCTAGTGCTCTCCCAACAATGGAGGTATGCAGTCCCTCCCAGCGGCCCAGTCGGTCAACTGCGAGGTCCACCAGCGTCTCCCCGTGGTCTAGCGGGGGGCCAAGTGCTGTTAATCGCACTCCCAAGATGCGCAGCGCTGTTTCCTTTGTTGCCCATGAGACGTGTGGCTCCGGTGGCGGGCTGGCTATCTGCGGGTGTGACCACCGTCCCTCTATTTTAGAACCCCAGTTGACTTTCATGTCAGCTGCCAGTGAGAAGCGATGTATGACTTGTGTCAAGGCTCGCAGGCTTTGGTCGTCTGCTCTAATCAGCACCGTGAGATCGTCTGCGAAGAGCGATGTGATCGGTACAAGGTGCCCCGGCAGCTCAGGGATGGAGATTCTGTGAATCTGTGGGTGGGATCTGATAAGGGCAGCCAGGGATTCCATAACGATAACAAAGAGCAGAGGCGCTATAGGGTCCCCTTGTCTGACCGATCTCTGAAGAAAGATCGGGGCAGCCAGGTGGTCATTCAGCGAGACGTTAGTTGACGCCAATCTATGCAAGAGCTGCACCCATTTCGCGAACACAGGGCCAAAATTCATCTTGGTCAGACACATGTCCAAGAAGTCCCAATCAACATGGTCATAGGCTTTCTCGAAATCGATGAAAAGTATTGCAGCCTAGACCTTTCATTAAAGGGCATACTTGATGGTCTCATTGACCAACAGTATGTTGTCTTGGATGTTGCGATTAGGCATAAACCCAGACTGGTCCGGGTGTATGAGAATGTTCATCAGCGACAGCAATCTCCTTGTGAATGTCTTAGCCACCAGTTTATAGGGGACCGGGAGGAGGGTAATCGGTCTATAGTTTCTAACTTCCTCTTTGTCCCCTTTTTTATAGAGGAGAGTAGTAACTCCTTGTCCCATCATACCTCCGAAAGAGCCTTCTCTTTGCACTGCTGTGATGTAGTCCAGCAGATCATCTGATAGCAGGTCCCAAAACTGCACCCAAAATTCTTTGGGGAAGGAGTCCACTCCTCGCGTCTTTTCGTCATCCATCTCCTGCAGGGCGTCCCAGACCTCCTCTCGGGTTATGGGTTTGTCCAGTTCACCCCTTTGGGAGGGGGTGAGGCGGGTCTGAATCGCTTGCAACAGCTTTTGCCTCGCTTGGAAGACCTCATTGTGAGGTTTGCTTGGAGTCTCCGATGTGAACAGCTTTTGGTAATATTTCGATGCATAGTCCACAATGGTGTACGCATTAGAGGCCACCGGGGCGTCGACGTCAAACGGGTGTTTGAGTCTAGGGACTGTGTTTGCCCTTGCTCTCGCCTTGGCTTTGTTAAAGAAAGTTCTTGCCATTGTCCCGTCTGTTTGGCCTCGTTTGATCCTTGCGTGGATCCTCCAAGCTTGTGATTGTCGGTCCACATATTCTTTGAGGTGGTCCCTCGCTGTTTGTAGTTCGTGGAAGGTGGGATGGTGAGTGGGATTGTCAATTAGTTTTTCATCCCAATCTTCGAGCCGGCTCGGGAGGCCCTCTAGGATGGCCTTGCGGTTCCTCGCATGCTGGATAGAGAATTTCTTAGCGCGGTCCCTAAGTTGTGCAATGCCATCATTGAATTATGCGACTTTGTCCTCTGTTGGAGGTTTTTGGCCTTGCTAGTAAGACCAAAATGTATTGACCATCTCCTTGAAGGTAAAGAGGGGCAGCAAGGAAGAGTTAAATTTGTAAGATCCCGGGCCTCTCTTTATATGGCCATGAAAGGACAGCCCAAGAGAAATCATTTGATGATCGAAGGACTTGCAGGGGCTTATAGGTATAATATCAGCAGTTGTGAGCAGGCCCGTCAGGTCCTTTAATATTAGCGTGAGGTCGATCCGTGAGCTGGCCACGCCATTCTGGCCTCTAGCCGACAAGCATGTATAGGCCTTTTGAGCTGGGTGTATCATTCTATACGCATCTTCCAGCTGCCTGTCCGCCATAAACTGTTGGAGCATGACTGCATCCAGGTTGGCTAGGGGAGGCGGTTGAGCTCCCGGGTTGGCTTGCTGTGATAGTGATCTGTGATCCATCCCTGGGTCAAGCGTGGTATTGAAGTCGCCCGCCATTATCAGGGGCGCGTCGTTAGGCAGGGTTTGGTGGAGGGTAAACCACAGTTCCACTCTGCTGGCGGGGCTATTCGGGGCATACACGCATACTAGGTAGAATTCTTCATTCTGTATTGTTGCCTTAATATACACCCACCTGCCGTTGTGCTTGTCGTAGTCCACGGAGATGGGGACAATTCTTAATGAGGGCGGAAGCCATATTGACACCCCTGCCGATGCTCTTTCTGTGGCCGGTGCATTAAACGTGGTATAGGGCCAGACTGCTTGTGCCTTGGCTACATGTGGAGGCATATCCTGCAGATGTGTCTCTTGCAAACACACAGCATCCAGCCATCGGCCTGTGATCTGGCATTTGATCAAGTTCATAATAGCCTCTTTTTTTGTTGCAGATGCCTGAATCAGACCATTAACGTTCAGCGAGCGGATGTCCAGGTCTGCCCGTTCCAGTCGTGCAGCCCATTGGGGTTGTTTCCTGACCCGAGGGAAGACTGGAGGGGAGGGCGGACGTTGCGGTAGGGGTGGCGGGGTGGGCGGGGCTGTGAGGGGCGGCGTGGGAGGGCCCTGTAGAGGAATGGCGGGCGGAAGTTGAGACTGCTGTGTGACCAGTGAAGGACGCGGGAGGGGGTTATTTTCGACCGGGTCTACGGAGGGGCCAAGTGACCCTGATTGCACATCGGTGTCATCCATTGGAGAACAAATTTGGCGCTTCCATCGGGCATCCGTCGTAATGCTTGACAGAGTGTACGAAGGGCAGGTCCTCCCACTGCTGATACTCCTCTAGCGCATTATCTTCGAGAAAGATCTGCACAAAGGTCAGCACCCTACACCGAGTCCACGCATAGTTGGTCGCGAACCTGTTGGTAGACAGATTCATGAGTTCCTTGTATGTGAACCATGAGAAATCTGATCGAGTTCTGCGTGGGCTGACATGGTGGTGTATTAGCAATATCACCGGAGTAATGCCTTTGGGGAAGGATAGAGTATTGGGGAGGACTGCACCTTGCACTCCCTCCGTCGCTGTTTCCTTAATCCACAGGTTAAGTCTCTTGAGAGTGGCCGCTGTGGACATGCTCCCCCTCCATCCCTCCACCGTTAGTTCCCCTTGGATGGTGGGCTCTTTCGAGTGATTCGGTGGTGGTCTGAGACCGAGCAACCACTCCCCTGATTTCGTTATTCTTCTCACCGGGAAGAGAGTCATTCCCGGTGGCATAGATAGTGGGACGGTGTCGTCGTCTTGGAGTCTATCCAAGGCTCTCACTGTTTTGGGTAGTCCGATAGCCAAGGCGTCTTCTCCACTGTCATCCTGTTGTTGATCCGCCGAGTTGTCGTCAACGGGCACTATGTCAGACTCGTGAGAGTGCCTGAGCCGAAGCGGGGAGGGGCATGGTGGGGCCTGTCCTGAAGGGGAGCCCTGCACATCCATATGGACAACTGCCAGTTGATCTCGGGGTTGGGCGGGATCAGATTCCCGGGTTTTTGTTATTTGTTGCCGCTGTTCCATTTCCCCATCTGGCCTGAGCAGCGGGGCATTCGTCAGTGAGGGCCCGTAGAGCGTATAACAGAGTTCGTTCACGAGGGGTCTGGGCCACGCCAGGCCCTCATGCAAGAACACTTCTTTCTGTTGTAGGTGCCTGTGCATCTGTTCTGCATGGTCTGCGGGTTGCATTCGCTCTTTTAGCAAATTGTTCAATTTTATCCAAGAATTCATTGACCACGAAGACAATGGCTGCCCCCACATCCATCCAGTCTATTGCTATGACGTTGTTGTATTTTTGGACTGTGGCCAGAATCTTGGGGCTGTGCATCAGGACGGTCTTTGCTTTCTCCCAGTGGCCAGTTTTTAATTTTTCTGCTCGCCTATCGTCCGTCAATGAAAAAAAAATCATCAGGGTCCAATCTGTGAGGAAGCGAAGTTTTTGTTTAACTTCTGCGTCGGTATAGAGCGACGCTACGTCAGGTGAGGGGGCTGCTTCCATTTCCACGTCATCAGGTGGGGCTGGTGTAACCCAAACTGGTGATCGGTCACGGGAGCTGCTTCAATGTTAGCAGGCGCCGATGTGTCCTTATCTTGGGGCTCTTGTCCGGCCTGTGTCGGGCGAGTGTCTTGCAGCAACAGGCAGTGTTGTCCTTGCGCAATTGGCGGGCCCAACATGCCTGGTTGGCTTTGCTGGTGCTGATGTTGCCTCTGGTTCTCTAGTTGCTGTTGCCAGTATGCCTGCAGTTGTATCTGTTGTTGCTGGAGAACAGCCTCATGCTGGTTGCATAGACGCTGCTGCCACTGGAGTTGGAGGTGGCGCTGTTGCAGCAGCTGTTCTTGTTGTTGTTGTTGGTTATGTTGTTCCAACTGCACCTGTAGCAGGAGTCGTAGGTGGTCTTGGATACTCGCCTGATGCAACTCGTGTTGCTGTTGTTGTTGCTGGGCTTGCCATTGCACATGTTGCAGCATCAGAATTTGCGCTTGGTCATGGTGCTCGTGTTGTTGTTGTTGCTGCTGCAAGTGTTGGCTGCACTGCAGTTGGAGGTTGTGCTGTTGCTGTTGTTGGTGGAGTTGCAACAGCTTCTGATGGTTGTCGTGTTTTTGCTGCTCCTGGATTTGCTCCAGCACTTGTTTTTGGTCAAGCATTTGTTTGTGATGCAGTTGTTGTTGAGCCTCCTGTTGTTGCAGCTCCTGGTGTAAACGTATGTCTGCTTGCTCCTGGTAATGGCGAAGGAGTTGGAGCCTTTTTTGCTCCTGCTGCTGTTGCAACTATAACTGGTCCTGTTGTGTGCGTTGGTGGGCCTGCTCCTCTTGTTGCCGCAGCAGAGTCATGCGTTGTTCCTCGTGCAATGCGTGCTTGTGGTGGAGCTCACTTTGTATCTGGGGCCGAGCCAGCGGGTGTCCCACCGGGGCACCCCGTTCACGGCCCTTCCCATCCCCCTCGTGGGGTTGCTGCGAGGGTTGGCCAGTTTGTTTGCTGGGGCCTCCGCTCTCTTGAGGGCCCTTCTGTCGGGGCGCCCTGCTGCCCATCTGCTACTCTCCCGCCTCCCCTCCAGTTTCACCTGGACGTGGGGGGATGGGAGAGTGTTCGTCGGCAAGAGGGAAGGCAACTCCTTTGATTTTGTTCAGCAGGGAATTAGCTTTCACCCACATCCCTTGAGGGGACAACGATTTACTGTGATCGGCCTCTTTATTGTTGTGCATTGAACCTGTTGCCCGGGTTGCCGGGTGCGCCAGCTCAGCTCCTGCCTGTGGTTGAGCCGGGTTCTCAGTGGAGGGCCTCGGTTGGGGGGGCTGTGGTGGCTTGCCATTGACAGGGTTGTCTTGCTGAGCCCTCGCCCCCGCAGGTGGTAGCTGGTACTTGTCTGGGTGTTGTTGGCCTGTGGGGCCATTGTGGTCGGCGAGACTGGCAACATTCAGTTGTGTGGCATTCGTACTTGGTGACAGCAGCGGTGTTGGCCCGGCCGACTGGGTCCGTATTGCCGGATCCTGCTGTGGTTTGGCCGACGGGCTGTGGGACGCTGGGGCAGATGGTTGAGTCGGTAGGTTGGCTGCCTCTAGCTTCAGGGGCCGGTTCTGTTCTCTCACCTCTTGGATCCCCGAGGCCGGAGGGTCGAGGTTGCTGTTGTCGGCTTCGTCCTTGTGTCGGGTCGCTCCGTGGGGCGAAAGGGTAGTCGGTTGTGGTAGTAAGATGACTGCCCCCGGCTTCGGGAGTTGCTTTTGTTCTATCACCTCTTGGATTCCCGGGGCCGGGGGATCGTTGTTGCTTTTGTTGCCTCCGTCCTTATGCAGGGCGGTCCCGTCAGGCTCGGTAGTGCCATTTTGACGTCCCCCCACGTCTTCGGGCTTTTTTTCTGCATCTCCTCGGACCTTGGGTTTATACTTCTAAAAGGGTGGGCGCGGTGGTGGGGTTGGGGCTGGTGCAGAAAACCGTGGGGGCGATTTTTTGTTGACCTCACTCGTTGTGCGCCCTTTCCGCCCCTCATCCTTCATGTCCCCTGTTCTCCCTGATTTCCCTTCTTTGCCTTCTTGTCTCTTGTTTCCCCTTTTTGTCACCGGTCGGGGGGCCACCTCCTCCTTCCCCTTTTGTTTATCGTCATCCGTGACGACGTGCTTGGCACCTGATGGGAAGGCCGCTGGATAGCCCTTTCCTTGCCAAAACCACTTCCCTGATTGCCCGTCTGCATACGCTCCGAGTTCCCATCCTTCCAACTCCATTCCTCCGCGAAACATCTCTCCTCGTCTGTCGGGTGAGGAACCACAAGGCCCTGGATTCTGTGCTTGCGAGTGTTCGGGCAGGAGGCGTCTGTGCAAAGGTGGCCCCTATCTTTGCATGCATAGCACCAAGGGTCTTGAGTGTGGCTCACCGGGACTGAGCTCTCCTTGTCGCCGTATGAGTATCTCGACTCCTCATTCAGGGGGAAGGGGAAGTCGGCGTCCCAGTCCACTGTGACCAGCAACGAGCCATCATGTTTGCCCAAAAATTGGGGAAGATCCGTGATAAAGCCTTTCATATGGGCAAAATTTTCTAAGTCTGACAATATGGCTCCTTGGATGCAGAGAGGTGCGAACCGGAATTCCACCCAAAAGTTGGATTTCACGAGGAATTCTCGTTTCTCGTCAGTCGACAGGGGGTTAGCCGGGGACCAGGCTGAGACATTCACCGGCTTTCCCCTGCATTGCATTGTCTTGTTTTTTAAAAGAACATTCCTATCTGTTGTGTATAGAGCAACTATGGTGACACAGTCTGGGTCCTCCACCTCGACCAGGAAATGCTCCTGAACATGGCGTCGGTCTGTTTTGATCTTCGCCAGGCTGTCAGAAATCCATTTGACTTTATCGTTAATGGAAATTGAGGCCAGGGTCGCGGGAAAACGGAACTGCACTGCCTTTTGAGAGTATATTGTGTTGCGTGTGGCCCGGGCCTGAGCCGGGAAGATAGCGTGAGGGTAAATGTACCCGTTCCTCACTTGGAACTTCTTCTCCGGTTCAACATACAGCTGTTGAATCATGTGGCTCTTAAGGGGAGCCATAGAGGCCAAGGATGACGCCCCCCTGGATTCAATGACCCCCGGGGCAGACAACGCTTTGAGCAGTTGCGGCGGAGCGTTTCTGGCCGCGGACGAGGTGGAGGGGGCTGCTTTGGGTGCCACCCCTGGACTCGAAACCATGGCGCTCCAAGATTTTGTCTCGTTTTTTAGACCCATTCTCTCCTTAGGGCCCGGGCCCATTCTCTCCTCAGGACCCGGGCCCAGCAGACCCTTTGTCCCCATCGTTTATCGGCAGTTTCCAGTGTTTATCCTATTCGCTGTTTTTTTTTTTGGGGGGGAGCGGGGTGTGGGACAGGGATGTGCCCATAGTGCAAAGCCACTCAGCCTGATTGCTTGGCAGCTCGATCACCCTGGTCTGTGGCCTAGCCTGCCAAGCCTCTCTCGTCAGTCCCTGAGGCAACTGCCTCTTCCCTCCTGCTGACGTGTGCGATCCAATTTGCCTTTCTCGACAGTTTTTGCGGGGTGTGGGACAGGGTTACGCCCGTAGAGCAAAGCCCCTCAACCCGATTGCATGGAAACTCGATCACCCCGGTCCATGGTCCAGCCTGCCAAGCCTCTCACGTCAGTCCCTGATGCAACTGCCTCTCCCCTTCTGCAGATGTGTACGATCCAATGGGACAGTCAGTCCCTAAGGCAACTGCATCTCCCCTTCTACTGGCGTGTACGATCCAATTTGCCTTTCTTGACAGTTTGCTAATACAGTGTCCTCGAGGCAACTGCCTCTCCCCTTCTGCTGACGTGTGCGATCCAATTTGCTTTTCTCGACAGTTTGGTAATACAGTGTCGGGTGCTGCCATGCAAGGGTGCATGGGCGCATGCCACCCGTCGCGATTTTGACGATTTCCAAGTGTGATGTGAGTTGTAGTTAGTTTATGTGCGTTTGAGGTGAATGTGTATGCAGTCGGCGTAGTCGATGTGTACTTGGCTTACAATAGGTGTGTGATGTATGCTGTATGCCCCGTGTCTGGTGGGGTCGGCAAAGGGGCAGAGCACCCCCAGCCCCACACAGTTCCACTCCACCCCACACCCCGTGCCACTGCCCCTGGACACGCACACACATCACCCGACCCCCCCCACGCACACACACACACACACACGCACGCACGCACGCATCCCACCCCACCCCACCCCACCCCACCCCACTCCCACACGCACGCACGCACCCACACTATGCCCCGTTCGCCGGGGAGCACCTAATTATTCCCCATGGTCAGATCTGTACCGATGTTTCGCGATTGCAGGGTCGGGTGTTCACATCTGAACAGCAGGTATGGGTTTGAAGTGAATGGTATGAGAGTGGGGGGGGGGGGCACGGGGGAAGGCAAGACAAGACAAGAAAAGATCGATGGCGCGGGCCGAGTATATGGCCCGTTTGGCGGTGAGCACCTAATTATTCCCCATGGTCTGATTTGCACCGATGTTTTAGCGATTGCAAGGTCGGGGGTTCACGTGTGAACAGCAGGTCAGGGATTGAAGTGAATGGTATGAGGGGGGGGGGGGGGGGGGGGGCACGCGGGAAGGCCAGACAAGACAAGATAAGAACGATGTCGCGGGCCGACTTTACCCTCTCATACTGGAATATCGGTCGACGCAGTTGCGGCTCCAGTCGCTTCGCTCTTCAATCCAAACTCCCATGATCGCAGTTTTGTTTCCCGTTGTTCATCCTTCGTCGTTTCCCGTGATCGCGTCAACCTGTCCGGGCGTCTCTCCTCCCGGATCGCGTGTGTACCATGCATTCCGGCCGTGCCTTGGAGATCATCCGTCCTCGCGCATGCATTCCTACCCCTGCATGCCTGCGATCATGCGATCAACCTTGTCGAGGATCTTCCTTCCTCTCGCCGCAGTCTCCTTCCCTTTCTGTGTCGGCCCCAATCAGGCTTCAAATCGCCTCCGATCCCCCCACTTTCTCACAGTCTTGGCACAGACATTCGTCATGCACACCTTCCCACCCCCACCCTCACCCCGCCTTGAAGATCATCCTTCCTCGCGCATCTCCCTCCCTTTCTGTACCGGCCCCAGTCAGGCTTCAGATCGCTTCCGATCCCCCAACTTTCTCACAGTCCTGCAACAGACGAAGATCATCCGTCCTCGCGCATGCATTCCTACCCCTGCATGCCTGCGATCATGCGATCAACATTCCTACCCCTGCATGCCTGCGATCATACGATCAACCATGTCGATGATCTTCCTTCCTCTCGCCGTAGTCTCCCTCCCTTTCTATGCCGGCCCCAGTCAGACTTCAGATCGCTTCCGATCCCCCCCATCCCCACCCTCACCCCGCCGTTGTCTCAGCCGGCTATAGCTCGTCTCTCTATTCATCCCAGTCCGGCGCAGTCACACATACCCCCATTCGCTCCGTCCGGCGATGTCTTTCTCGTCCGGTCTTCTCCATGCCACACACCCACCGCCCTTCATCGCCGGCTCCAGCCAGGTTTTCACTAATCATGCCGTGTTGATCCTTCATCACCGGCTCCCGCTAGGTCTTTCTACCGCTCCCGATCGTCCTCCTTCATGCTGCGTTGGCGCAGTCGCAGCTGCAGTCACCGCACGGGTTTCCCCGCTCCCACACCCTGAGAGGGCCGGGGAAAACATCACTGCTCATGCCTTGTGGCGATGGTGTCGCCTCGCCCTCTCGACACTTTGCACGCAACCAGGTTGACGGGCCTTGCCGTCAACGGGTTGCGCAGTGCTAACGATCCGCGTTCGACTCTTGTAATTCTAGTACACATCTATCTCACGGGCCTGGGCTCTCTCAACCAACTGGCCTGGGCTCTCTCAACCAACTAGCGCTGCGCAAGTGCCTAAATTTCCCAGTTGCGTGCAAAGCCCAAAATAAGGGGATAATCGGTAGAAGGCGCCCACGCCAAAACCTTTTCGGTTTTGGGCGCCCAAAGTTTAGCCGTTTGGTACTACCGGCCCAATGACTTGCATGTGGGGTACTACAGGCCCACTCGTCGCTCCAAGGGCCCTACCTGATCACGAACCTGGCGCATAACAGCGCCAGATTCATTTTGATGTAAAAGAGGCCTGCGGTGCTAACGCTGAAGTATAGAATGACGCCCATGTACGCGATTTTGAAAAAGAAGGGCCCTAACGGTTCATGAATCTGGCGCAGAAACAGCGCCAAATTCTTGAACCGGTAAAAACAGGCGCAGGGAGATGTGGCCACGGAGTGAAGGCGCCTTTCACCCAGGGGAAAGTTGTTTGGGCCGGTAGTACCGAATGGCCAAACTTTGGGCGCCCAAAGGTTTTGGCGTGGGCTCTTTCTACCAATTATCCCCAAAATAAGCCTCTCATCCCCTGCCAGGCCCCCCTTCACTTAGGGCAACCAGTATTGCTGAAAACAAGGCCCATTAGGGCTTATCGAGGTCGTGAGCCTCGCATTCCCTCCTCCATACTTGGACAGTCCTCTGAGAAGTTCAATCACTAAATCTGGCGCTTTCCTTTCTGCAGTGACTTCTCATACTGCGTAACAACCTGTGGAGCGGTCTGCATCAGTTCCTCCCGGGTAAACCATTTGTCCTCTTTCGGATCAGTGTGATGCCTGAACCGAATGCGATATTGCAACTTCAGCTTAGGAGGACGTCCCCTGCCTGTAGGTCTTGGAACTGACATTTCTCTGTGTTCCACGATGTCATCGATGTTGACCTCTCCATCCATCGTTGGGGGCAGCATTGAGTGATGAGAGAGGAACTACTTCGTTTCCTTGAACGGTGCGAGCTTGGAGGCGTGAAAGACGGGGTAGGTGCGAAGGTGACCAGGGATCCGAATTACATATGATGGCTCGTCCGGATCATTCCCGACAACATCTAGAACCTCCCATCGCCCGAAGTATTGTGGCATGAGCTTACGGGAGATCCCATGGTCCTTCCCCAGTTCAGAGGCTTTGACCCAGACTCTGTCCTCTACCTTGAATGTAGATGGGCGGTGATGCTTGCTCTCAGACTCTATCATTGCCGCTTATGCCCTATGCATCTGTTTTACAGCTTGCTGCATCAGGCCTTCATATCGATAGGCGAATTTTAAGGTTCCTGGTGCAGCAGTCGGTTGGTTCTCAGGTAGTAGAAAGTCTAAGGGCAGTCTAGGGTTGAAGGTCAGTAGCAGACTGTTAGGGCTCACCCCTGTTGCGTTGTGCACAACGTTATTGTAAAGATTGGCGACGAGGGCAAGTTTCTCATCCCAGTACACCTGGTTAGGCTTGATATAGTGCCTCAGCAGGTGTCGTACAGCGCGGTTCAGATGTAACAGTTCTGTTTGCCCATTTGCCTCTGGTGGTTCCCAGACATCATCTGCAGCTGTGTCCCCTGTTTTGCAGCTGCGGCTTTCAGCAATTCACTGGTAAATCGCACATCCCGGTCACTAACTATTGACTTTGGAAATCCAAAATCCTTGACCCATTTTTCTTTGAACAACTTAATCACATACCCGATCTTGGTTGTTCCGGGCATTGCAACTAACCTAGCATACTTACTAAAGCTATAGACAATGACATAGACGTATCACATACTGCTCTTGCTGGTGACCAGCGTGTCCATAAAGTCCATGGACAGGCTTTCACCGGGCCTTTCCGGTATCGGAAGGGGCTTGAGAAGCCCAAGAGGGGCCTACGTACGTGGCTTGTCCCTCTGACACACCTGACAAGTCTCCACGTACAACTTGGCGTCTCTCATTATTGTGGGCCACCAGAACTGTTGCAGCAAGTTGGCCGGAGTCTTCTTATAACAAAAATGTCATATGGCATCATGATACTCACTTAAAAATAAACTACGCAAAGAGTCCCGGTTAGTCACACACAAACGTTTATTCCCGGCCTTTTCGAGGAACAGCAGGCCATTGACCAACACAAACTCGTCAGAAGTTACTTTGTCCTTCGCCTCGAGCCTGCTTATGATCTCTGACATAAACGGCTCCTCGTGATATGTTTCCACCAAGGACCGAGTTACATCGTCCGCAAACTGAAAAATTCCCAAATCAGTGATCAGCGCTCCCAGGAAGTCTGGCCTACGTGACAATGCATCAACAACTTTGTTATACTCCCCTTTGATGTATTGGGTTCAATGACATACTGCTCAATAACTTCAATCCAACGTTTTAGCGCGTCGGAGAGCACCGACTGAGTTTTCATCCACTTCAGGGTCTGATGATCAGTCCTGACGTAGAAGAACCTCCCAAGGAGATAGTGCCTCCAGTGGGTTAGTGCTTTGTAGATCGCGTAAAGCTCCTTCTCGTAGGTGGACTTAGCCAACTTTTGAGAGGGCATCTTTTTGGACATGTACTTGATAGGCCTCAACTTTGGCCCCTCCTGCTACACAAGCACGGCACCAATGCCATATCGGTTGGCATCCATGGTTACTATAAATGGTTTGTCAGAATCAGGAAGTTTTAAGAACTCATGATGTGTTTAGGAGTGCTTCAGATGTTTGAAAGTAGCCTCACACTTGTTTGTCCACTCCTGCAGGGTATCAAGGCGTGTGAGATCCGTCAAAGGTGCGGCCACTATGCTATATTTCTTTACGAAATTACGGTAGTAGCTGGTCATCCCTAAGAAGGACCTCATCTCAGTCACAGACTGAGGACGCGGCCACTCACGAATGCTGGTCACCTTCGCGTCATCGAGCTTCAATCCCTTGGCGGAAATCTCATGACCCAAATACAAGATCCGGGTGCGGCCAAACTCGCACTTCTTCCCGTTAATCTTAAAGTGGTGCTGCCGTAGGAGACTAAGGATTTTGCCTAGATGACCAACATGCTGCTCGACAGTCCTATTAAAGATAAGCATGTCATCGAGGTACACGATGACAAACTTGTCCAGGTAGTCATGAAAGATCCGGTTCATGGCGTGTTGAAAGGTGCCAAGAGCATTGCAAAGGCCGAAAGGCATCACCACAAACTTGTATAGACCGTAGCTCATTTGCAAAGCGGTTTTGTGTTGATC